TCACCTGTCTGGGAGCAATGTGTTCGGTCTTATGTTGGTGGCTTGATCCTTCTTTTCTACCCCAATTGCTTTTATAATTGTTTGTCCAGGAGATTAATTTGGACTTGCGCGTGCACAATGTTTTCCCCTCCACTTGCTTTCTGTAATAGTATGTCAAGGATATTAACTTAGTTTGTGTGGAAGCTTTCATTTCACTATTTGTACGCGAGAAATTCAAGGATGTATCTAAAGAGGGGGCCCTTATGTCTGATTTTGAAATTTAATTTCAATTCCTTCATGTCCTAATATACAAAAACTAGTCATTTTATGTAGATCTGATGTAAATGAGTATCCTTCTAAATTAACTTCACCTTTGAATATATAAATGTATAGTAATATATCGAAGTTAGCCAGAGTCAATTATAGTTGCATAACTTGCTTTCCTAAATGGTGATGAACAGTTAAGATAATATGATTTGGTATAGGGATTGATTCCTATAGCAAATCATGTCATTATACATCTTTGTCTAGACTCTTTTTTCGTTAAGGGATTTGGAGGCCGCTACTATGTTGTGAGGCGTAAACTGTACGGCATTCAAGTATATGAAGAGCCCCTCAGCGTCAAACTTAGCTCTGCCAAAAATTTCCTACTAATCCACTGAGAGTTATGCAAGATCAACTGTCTGTCATGCATTATTTATTTCTATCTCTACCTATTTAGTTCGAATTTTTGCTTAATAGCTGGTGCTTGTTAACCTTCATGTATGATATTGGTTTGAGTCTTTGGCCTTATCAAGACTGAGCATTACTGAAACTTTTGGGCATGCTGTGATATTTCCTATAATTTTCAATGCCAATCGTGGTCTTGTGTTCTTGACGAATAATAGCTGTTCTTGTTTAACACTTTCTTCCTTATCGACAGCCCTGAAGGTATCGAGTCCTTCTGCTCCGATGTGGAAGTAGATCATACTGATGTCAGGATACTCATGCTTGCCTGGTATTGTATACCTAATGCATTAAACTTCCCTTTCCTTTTCCCCCCTTCGAAAAGGGAGTATATTTTCTATTTTATCTATTTTAACTGACATTTGATAATCAGGAAGATGAAGGCTGAAAAGCAGGGATATTTTACTCTGGTATAGTTCAACCAAATCGTGAACCTTGCGGTCCATTTTTTCAATTTCTTGCATTGCATGCCTGACAAGCAATTCTGATTCATGATAGGAAGAATGGCGCAGAGGTCTAAAAGCACTTCGAGCAGATACTATCGCCAAACTAAAGAAGGCACTACCAGAATTGGAGAAAGAGGTTAGGAGAATTATGATTCTTAATCAGATTTTCATGAGATTGTTTCTTTTGAACTGATGTTGTTTTTCTTTGACTTGGCAAATTTTGTGGATTTTATACATGTGATCTTTGGTGAAGCATGAATATATGCTGAAGTTTCCTCGTGCTTTTTCAGGTATCGAGGCCTCAGAATTTCCTCGATTTCTATTCATATTCATTCCGTTATTGTTTGACAGGTATTGCTACTTTTCTCGTGGTAGCCTTTATTTTCTAGATGTGGATAGATAATAATATATAAATCTTTTTGAAGTTTTTGGGCTAGCATGAAGAATCTTTTTTTGTATTCAAATTATTTACTAGAGGGATGACCATTTCTCTTGATTAGCATATGCCTTGTTGTTTTCCCTTTTTTGTGTTTTTTAAACTTCCCTTATCTGGATTGAAAGTACCCTAAAGGGGGAGGGTGAATAGGGTAATTGCTAATCTAACCCGATATCGATGCTAAATTAAAAACTTTACAATGCAATATCCTAACAATATGATGTACAACAAATTATATGCAAGGATATGCAAGGATGGACAATATGACAATGGGCGATATAAACAATGGGCACAAGATATAAGAGAAATATACGCCAAAGTCAAACGTAAATACAAGAATATGATCACGGAGTTCGGTCTAACACTCGACCTACGTCTCCGCTCCTCACCTCGAGGAGATCTCCACTATATCATAAGTATTACACAATCGGTTTTCAAAGCTCACTGAAAACTTTTACAATGCACACGAAGTCAATCCCATAAGACACTCCTCTAAGTATTGGTCTACCCGTGTCATCTTTCTCAAGTGTTTGGAATTACTACCTCTCCCTAGGCTTTATAACCAGGCCACTCCTCTTAAAATTGATCCCGATCTCTCCCAACCCCTCCTCTAAGTGTCCTTGTGTATTACAATGTGTTTCGACAATTTGTGCAATTAAAGATTTGTTCTCTAACAAAGACGAGAACGAAATGTAAGCTCTCTCAATGAAATAACCCCACAACCCAAATTTACAATATGTGAAATACTAAAGTTCAATTTGGTTGTGTGAGAGCAATGAATAAAACAAAATTAAACTTAAATAATTCTAGCTTATATATACGAGAATTAAAATAATAAATAGCTAGAAGAAAAGAGTTTTAGAAAACTTCTCCAAGAACAAGAGAAGTAGATATTTGATGATGAAAGCCTCAAAATTGAAATTAAAATTCTTCTTTGTGAAACTCTCTTCACATAAACAAACACACTTAAAAACTTCTCAAAAATGTGCAACAACATGACCTAAAAACTCAACAAAAACTCTTAAGAAAAATCAAGGCTTGAGAACTATTTATAGCCTCAAAAACAAAGCTCAACAAAAATTAACCGTTACAGAAAACTAGTCGTTCGGTCGACTGATGAACTGTATCGGTCGACTGAACAATACTGTTCGGTCGACCGATTTTCTTGGTCAGTCGACTGATAAGCTGTAAAACTCAGGCTGGAAAAAGTTGCTTTGGTCGGTCAACTGATAAGTTACATTGGTCGACCGAAACACTGTCGGTCGACTAATTTGAACAATCAGTCGACTGAAAACTGATACATAGGAGTTTTTGCTGAAAAAGTGGTTTTCTAAATACAATTTAAAAATAGTAAAACAACTCTAAAATTAGTAAAATTTGGGAAAATGTTTATATACATGAAAACAAACATGTTAGAAAAGAATTTCTAAAATAACATTTACCATTTGTGAAAACTCATCATTTTGCAAAACGTCAAAAATACGAGTTCGTTGAATTCTTGATTTTGACAAAATGATTTTAAACAAAATTGAAAATTCTTTTGAATGGATTAATGGACTTAGAAAAGATGTAAAACAATTATATTAAGTCAATAATCGAAAAACACATTATTTTCTCAAATGAATGTTTAATTATCAATAAATCAAAATGTGCGTATGTGAATAGTTTGAGCTTTAAGTATGAGCACATAAAGTAAAAGCCTAAACTATTTTACCCGAGCTAATAGTCTTCGTTAGAGCTCGATCTTGGTAGCGGATGAAGTGATAGAAATTCTTGACTTGAATTGCGACGGTTTCATTCCAATTTCCTTCCAACCTCCTTGATATTGTTAACGTGAAATTCTTGACTTGAATTGCGACGGTTTCATTCCAATTTCCTTCCAACCTCCTTGATATTGTTAACGTGCAATATCCAAATATCAACCTGGATGTATGTTGGAGGAAAACACAAATACTAGAAACCAAGATGAGAAATTGTTTGTTAATCATCAAAACAAGGTTAGACAATAGGTTCATAAACATGAGACCTAACATGGATTGTTATTGGTCACTCACCACTAGTCCTGATTACTGCTTTAGCAATGATGTTATGCTTATGCCTCCTGTCATATGCATTCTTATATGAGAGGCACTAGAGGCACACTCTCCACTACACCTCCCCTCCTACTACAGTGCACCGGGGCCCACTTGAGATTTAAATTGTAAATCTCAAGTGGGCCCCGGTTTTAAATATCGGCCGATAATCGATATTATCGGCCGAGTTATCGGATTTAGGAGCTCTCCGCTAGGATAAATTGGATTTTTAATCGGTTATCGTTTTTGTAAGTTTATCGGCGATTTATCGGCGTTATCGGCACTTATCGGCCGATAAGTAAGACTTTTTTATCGGGATTATCGGCCCATTTTGACTAACATTATATTTTTTTAAGGCTATGATGTAAGTTTCGCTTTCTACAATTTGTTAGTGATTCTAAACATGATGATTTACATTTTGGTATGTTTATATTTCATTAAGTATGATTATATTATATTTTTTAATTGTTATATTATATATAAACATCATCTAGTATATCACTCCGATAAATACTACTTATCCCCGATATATCCCCGATTTCCGCTATCCGATAAAAGATTTTAGCCGTCCGATAAATCCCCGATAACCGATATTTAAAACCTTGCCGTGCACTGTAGCAGGAGGGGAGGTGTGGTTGGAAGAGTGGTGGAGAGTGTGCCTCTATCATTTCTCTTCTTATATCTTCGCTGCATGGATCTATGAAGACTTGAGTTATTCTACTCTCATCTCATCGTTAATTAGGCAAACTTTAACTTATTATTAGTATAACTATTTCTGTCTTATTACTGATGCAATTAGTTCTATCCATCTTTTCTGAATGTTGTTGCACATTCACCTTGTTCTCACTTCATCACGTCCTAATCCAAGGACTGCCCTTCTGCCCTTTACAAATTATTCAAGAACAAAGGCTTGGAAACCCCTTATATTAACAAAAAGATAGCGAAATTTAGAAAAAAGAAAAAAAGAAAAAAAGAGAGAAACTTGTCTCTCCCCTCAATATACATGCCAATTGTTTTGATGTCAAGTTTTTTTTCGTTTTCCTTCTATTTCCCAGAGGACAAGCAGAAGAGTATAGATATCGAGAGTGCTTGTGAACTACTGGATCTAGTGTTAGGCTTTCAATTTCGCCCGCAGGTGGGAAAACTTGTTGAATACCTTAAGGTAATAGTTCTCGTCCCTTTAATTAATCTTGTTTCCCTTTTCATCCTATATTTCTTATTGGATTGATGAGTTTAATGCACACGTTCCACAGAGCCAGCATGAATACAAAGTAATAAACATGGATCAGTGGATGAGTTTTCTCCGGTTTTGTAATGAGGTTTGATTCAACTTTTATTTCTCATGTCAATTCTTCTTTTGTAAGCTATATATATACATGCGAATGCTGGTCCCTAATCTTTTTCCATAACAGATAAGCTTTCCGTCACTTGATAATTATGACGAGGAACTTGCTTGGCCTTTGATTTTGGACAATTTTGTCGATTGGATGCGTGCGTAGCAAAAGCTTCTCCTCCTCTCTTTCTCCCAAAACTGTCTTGTTATTTTCAGCTTCAATTCAAATTCTGTAGAGACGAAGAATGATATAATTAAGTTGTGGAGGATTTACTGGTCGCTATAATTTCTCAACCGTCTTTTGAGAAGATGCGCAGAAGTTATCCATTATTATTTTCTGAAAAAGCCTGTCGAGCTATTCTTGAAGTCAATTGTGCTCATTCTGTATCGAATGGTTCTTTCTCCAGTATTGAATTGTCGAGCAGAGTTACTTTATATAAAGTTTGGAACAATGAGAGTCGCATTTTAAGATTTGAAATAAAAGTTAAGAGCTCATTTAATTTTGATTTGTGCATTGGATGTCTTACATTTGTTGCCATTCTTGCTTTTATTGCAACTCTCAGGTGATGTTTGGATTCGGGACGTATTACTCCGGGATGAATTTAACTCACTACTATAGGCTTTGGATACGATAATACTAGAGATTGTAAGGGGTCATGTTTTTAATAATTTGTTTGGTTCAATTTGTTATTAACTTTTCTGATACATATATCATGTTTGGGAGCATGTCATTATAAGGTGACGCAGGATTATAACAGTAAATATCTATTATACCTTTTTACCTAGATGAAGTGATTTTCGATTAAAAGTTTAAACCCAGGATACGAAAGCTCTCCAGTCCCAAGTTACGGAGCACCAACATAAATAAATATCGACTCACCATGACAAGTTACTTCCATGGTATTCATTAGCTAACCCATTAAAAATGTCAACTCAATTAGCGTCAATTAGCCATAATTTTAAATTTAGTCAAAACAGACGAAGATTGGGGTGGGGGGGGGGGGGGGGGGGTTATGTCCAAACATGAAAATCTAATTATGTTAACATTTATTGGGAGTAATTGGATGGATATGCTAACAGACCCATGCTCCGATCTTTCTTCTGCCGAGCATCGATCTTCTGACCTTTTTTTCTTCTTTTTATCAAATGGCAGATGACTGCTACACGTGAAGGGAATTATTAAATAATAATGGAATCATATCTAAATTTTAGCCTTTTGAAATATAATCCTAAGTGAAGAAGTGTCCCTAGACTGTAGTAATACCCTCCTCTTCTCAATTAAGTTGTTGAGTTTTAGACACCCGTCAAACTCTTTAACAATACTAAATGAAATCCAAACTGACTGTCTCAATTAAACTCGTATAGATTGGATATATGTTGAACCCAATCTAATTATCATCATCTAATATCAGAGGGATCTCGATCCAATAAGGCTTTCTTGTTTGATTAAGTATATTGCACATGATGTCGGTGATAATCTTTACTTCTGAATATATATATATATATATATATATATATATATATATATATATAGAGAGAGAGAGAGAGAGAGAGAGAGAGATAAATTAAACAATTTTGGAATGATTCCCCACATGTATACTATAATACTATTATATAAGAAACCAAGCAAGCGCAATCCAAAAATTGGATGAGTATTAGACACATTCTCACTTCTGCTATACTTGAAGGGGCGAAAAGATAATTCAACAAGAGACATCTTTGTTTCTCTCATTTTTGTTTTCTAGAAGGTACCATATATCATATAAATAATTTTTTCTTTCTTTTTTTTTTGTCTTTTTTGTTGGTTTTCAAGAATGTATCTACCATAATTCATGAGTATTAGATATGAGCCCATATAATTACCCATCAATTATATTTTAAACACTAAAAGGAATACTAATTAAATCATATGTTCCTTGTAGCAAAAACGTAATAGGGGTTTTTTTTTAGAAACCACCGGGTAATTATACACAAACCGCCTTTGATCTAATTTATATGGAAACCACCTAAAATTTGTATTTCTATTCTAATTAACCATCTGGGCCCACATATTTAATTTTAAACCCATTTCTATCCTTACAAAACTCACGTGTTCTGCATGTGCTCTCACCTTAACCCATATTTACCCAGACCCTTAACTGTTGAACCTTACCTAAATAAAACCAAAAAAAAATCTAAAAAATCACAAACCCCTCCCCTTTCTCTATGAGAGTCAAAGCAATCTCCCCACTTGTTCGACCCTAGATCCAATAAATTTCTTACAAATCCATTAAGTTTCTTGCAAAGAACAAGAAATCAAAACAAAATTTTGATTTTTACTACAGATTGAAAAAGATTGACATGATTTCTCTGTCTCATGAAGTTGATGTTGCTTCTCTTCTTCAACTTTAAGAGTAATTATTTGTATGAAAACAAACTTTGGGCATCAAAGTTAAAAATCAGCTAAACTTTGAAGCGCATTAAAGTGCAAATAAATGTTATCGGTAGTAAAAGCAGGTACAGCGCTGCGCCATCCGAGGGAGGGGGTGTCGAGCAGGTGGACGCCATCCGGGGGGCGGCCGGGTAGGGGCCATCCAGGCGCGCCGTGGTGGAGGCCGTCCGGGCCGGACGCCGGGGGGCAGAGTAGCGCGGGTGCAGGGGGAGGACGAGGAGGAGCTGGGCGCGTGTGAGCTGGCGGCGGCCATGAGGATGAATGGTCGTGGGACATGCAGGCTCTGCCTGTGCAGAGACTTGCTATGTGCTCGCTGTGCGAAGAGCTTCCTAGGGCCTGGAGCTGCAGCTGCGGCAAGGTAGGACGCTGCTTAAGGTGCGGCCTCGACCGGGAGAGGGTGATTAGGTGCCATGTGTGCGGGAGGGCGGATACTATCGCCGTGGAGCAGGTGATTGAGGGGGAAGAGAGTAGTGTGACTTTGGTGGTGATGAGCGGCTGCCGTCGCCCATCATTAGGCCTCAAGCTGCCACAGTCATTGTTCGTGTCGGAGCACCGCCATCTTCCCCCGTCCTTCCTCTTCGTCAACCTATCTGGTTTGTGGTTCACAGAGAACATGGGACAGCGCTGTCGTCAGGATTTGCTGGTTTATACATACGAGGCAAAAAACATTACGTGAAAGTGAATAGTAAAGATGTAAAAGGATCAGAATACAACAGCATTTAGACATGATAGCGTGAATATCAAAACACTTAAGAATACTAAAGTTAAAGCAAAAAATATTACGTGGTATTAGACATTTATCCATAGAGTACTTGGTGGTAAAAACAATTAAAAGATGCGAAAAGTTCACTGATGCCTGAGGTAAGCAGCGACCCGGTCGAATCCGGATCCCCTTCAAGAAAAAGGAAGAGAAAAATAAAGGTTAGTGACAAAAAGGTTGGACAAAAAACACACTAAAAAGCAAAGTTAAAGGCAAAACAGAGGAATAGGGTTAGAGAGTCAAAGGTCAGTACCCAAAGCCACAACTTTTGAGAGCAAACTTTTGAACTCTAATTAAACTTAAAATAAACAAGTTTAACCTCAAAGATTGAAAACTTTAAAAAGGCAAAGCGAAAAACACTCACGGCGACCCATCGTACACAAAAACAACCCTCAACCCCTCTGCCTCGTATGTATAAACCAACCAGTCTCGATGACAGCGCTGCCCCACGTTCTCTGTGAACCACAAACCAGATAGGTCGACGAAGAGGAAGGGCGGGGGAAGATGGCGGTGCTCCGACACGAGCAACGGCCGTGGCAGCTGAGCCCATGGCGACGGCTGGCCTCATCACCACCAAAGTCACACTACCCTCTTCCCCCTCAATCACTTGCCCCACGGCGATAGTATCGCCCCTCCCGCACACATGACACCTAATCACCCTCTCCAGGTCGAGGCCGCCCACCTCAAGCAGCGTCCTACCTTGCCGCAGTTGCAGCTCCAGGCCCTAGGAAGCTCTTCGCACAGCGAGCACATAGCAAGTCTCTGCACAGGCAAAGCCTGCATGTCCCACGACCATTCATCCTCATGGCCGCCGCCTCCACCACCGCCGCCTCCTCCTCCTCGTCCTCCCCCCTGCACCCGCCAGCTCCGCCCCAGCCGCCCGGAAGGCCCCTCCACGGTCGCCTGGATGCCTCCTCCCCGACCGCCCCCCGGATGACGTCCACCTGCTCAACCACCCCCTCCCCCAGATGGCGCAGCGCTGTACCCGCTTTTACGACCTATAACAATTAAGAGTTAAGTTAAATCAAACTAAGAATTAAGGTTTAACAATAAAAGTTTAGTTTTGATGGCATGAGATACAACGGTTATTTTCCCCCACCATTGTAATTATATTCATTATTTTAAGCAACTAGCCTAGATGCCCAGAAATGCTACTTACTGACAATCAGCATGTTAAATTCTCTTTCAGACTTATTAGCAGTGAGCAGCCGAGACATCAAAACTTTTAAGAGACCGTAGAAAAATTACTTGTAGCAGCTTTATTCTTAAAAAAACTATCATTAACCGAAGAATTGGAGAAGTAGTTGGAATAACTACATATTAATAAAGATACTGCAAAGATAGGAATCACTTCCACAAGTTTATTAAGCAGCGAATCCTGAAATGTACGTGGAAGAACAAGAACGCTGAAATATCAAATTGGCACTCAAAAGGAATTATACTAAAATAAAATCAGAGAACACATCAATTTTAAGAAATAATAAGAAAATTATCAATTAAGTTTCTATGTTCATAAAATTCCTTTGTGCTAGAAGCCTGAAAAATAATGCTAAAGTGGAAAGACACGTTGTGATCACAAAATAGTTGTCTAATGAGTAATGACTCTAAATCAAACCTTTTTGTACAAAATACAATCAATTTGTAAGGAAAATATTTAGTTGTTGGAATAATAACAGGGTGTCCATAAATATTCCAAAAGATCGTTCAAACCCAATTAATCACTTTGCATAGACAGACCCAATTAATCATATAATTCAGCGATCCAAACAATAAGATCCTACACTTCATTTAAACTCATTCAACAACCTATGAATAGTAGGATGAAGAATGATAACGGAGATCACAGTACATAAATGTCTAAATGGGTTTAAGCCTCACAACAATACCTGATATTTTTCAAACAAGAAGGCAAGACATAATTGAAATTTAGTTAAGTAAAATCTTAGTACCAACTAGACAATTACAAAATTACTTGTGATAACTACTTCATAGTAAAGATGTTAATGAATTAACCTCAGAAGTATGCTGGAAACGCCAAAATTACATCAAATTTCACTAAAAGAATATTTAAATTATACTCATAAAGATTGCTCCTGTCCAATTACTTACTTTTTAACCAATTAATCATATGATTGACCAATCAGAACGATAAGATTAAACAATTAATTCAACTCAGCCAACTGTTTTAGACTCAAACCCAAAGCGCCAAGCTTTCTAAATGGTGAAAAATGACAATGTAGGCCACAGCACATTGCCTAGAGGCTACCAGATTGGGGGCAAACCCAACCGAAATGTAAGAAATCAAGATTTTGGCACGGTTCTATTCTAGTGAAATCAAGCAAACAGAACAGTGAACCCAATTCAAAAAAAAAAAAAAAAAAAAAAAAAAAATCAAGAAAACCAACCTGAAGATAAATTTGACTTGAGCAAGATCCCCTCCACGCTAGCCCTAGTCGCCACCCTCAAATTCTCCGCGTTCGCCAATGCCAGCAAATCAGCAGCACTATGCCTCCTCCCGCTTGAATCGAAAGTACATTCGCCTTGATCAATCCATCCCTCACTGCGGACACCCAACTCTTCAGCTCCGGCCTAAACCCCACCGCCTTCTCCACCATCTCCGGGTCCCACTCGGCACCGTAAGCGTTAAAGAACTCCCTGTGAGCCCGGCTGTAGAATCCGGCGTTGATCGCCGACGATCCGTCGAGGACTCTGCCGAGAGCCTTGGGGACGCCGTCGTCGGAGACGAAGGACTGGGCGGGGGAATCGAGGCTGTTGGCGGCAACCAGGGTTTGGAGGAATCCGTCCTGGGAGCTGAGGGAGGGGAACTCGTCGGGGGTCCCGCCGCGCTCGAGGAGGAGGACGTGGTGGCCGGCGGCGGAGAGGGTGGCAGCGAGAGGGCAGCCGCGACTATGATGTAGTCGTAGTCGTCCTCCGGCGGATACAGGGTGGCGTCGAAGGTGAAGCGCGCGTAGCTGGGAGTGGTTCCCCCTGAAATCAAGAAATCAAGAAATCAAGAACAAGGATCGATTCTTAGGGTTAGGGTTTGGGGGACTGAGGATTACCTGCTTCCTGAGACGAAGAGAGGATCGCAATGCGGGGGGAGAAAAGGGTTGATGAGGGTCTGATCGCCATTGTTTTCTTGAAATTAGGGTTTTTGCTTTGAGAATTTGGGGGAAATTTGGAACGTTTGTTTTGTTTTTTCTCACGAGAGATGGGTGAGGAGTTGGCTTGAGAGCTTTAATTTGTAGAGAGGACAACGGCGCCTTAGACGTGAGTGAGGCTTTAAAAGAGAACGGAGGGGTATTTTGGGGATTTATTGTTAAGGGGTAGAAAAACATGATATGAGATGATTAGAGGGGTAGAAAAACATGATATGAGATGATTAGAGGGCAATTCCGCAAATATCAAGATACAAAGGGTAAAAGTGCAAATATAGAAGATTAGGGTATTGTTTGCATCAAAAGTTGGTTTTGTCATGGAATTCATTATATCTTCGGTCGATTACAATAAATTCAAAAAAAGAGATAGCCTTTTTATAAGACTCCTTTTACACAACAAAATGAAAATTACAACTCTTGGGAAACAAACGCATGATCGTTGTTTGGATCGCTGCTTGCGTGGGATCTTTGCCTGTGCTGGGGGTGCGTTAGCCCGTGGACCGCCAAATCACAGATTCTGATTGAATCGTGAGGGGTTTATGATTCTGACTTCGTTTATCGAAGTGAGAACTTGAAACGATATCTTATCAAGGTAAGATAGTCGTTCTTCTTGAAATCAAGTCAAAGCCTGAATATCAAGGAGTGGCCGTAAGCTCAAGAACTCTGCTCTCTCTCTGCTCTGGATTGCTCTGAAGTGCTCCAAATGATCAGCCCCTTCAAAAAAATGGCATTCGGGGGGTATTTATAGCCCCTATGAATAGTTTGCGAAAAACAGTCTCGCGAGACAGCATTTGCTGTCTCGGCCGTCGAGACAGTGTTTGCTGTCTCGACGGGCGAGACAGTGTTTGCTGTCTCGGCCCGCGAGACAGTAAATGCTGTCTCGGAAACAGTAACCGTCAGGCAGTTTTCGTTTAACTGCTTTCCCACGTTTCAAACTCCGTTATTTTGGAATTATCAACGCTGATTCTCGCCCACAACGTTTCCCACGTCTTGAACAGTTTAGTGGCCACGTTAGGGAAGTTACAAAGGCGTTTTGACCATCTGAAAGCTGTCTCACTGGCGCGAGACAAGTCTAAATTCGTGTCGTCGCACGCGCAGACAGTAAAGTCTGTCTCCGGTGCGAGGCGACATGTAAAAGTCATTCTCGCCAGCAGACAAGTAAAAACGCTCTCGGGTCGGCGCGAGACATGTAAAAGCATGTCTCTGCCAGCGAGCAGTAAAGACTGTCTCGCACGGCGAGACAGTCAAGTCTGTCTCGCGTGCGAGACAGCCCATACTTGTGTTCTTCTGCCTTTTTGAGCTGTATTCGGATATCTCTCAGCATTTTTTGACGCCTACAGGTATATGCAAAAACCCCTTTAAAAAAGGGTTAATTGCCTATTAGTCCCTTATATCTTTTCTAATTACCAAATAGTCCTTCAAATCTCAATATTTGCTTATTAGTCCCATAAATCTTCAGTTTTCTTGCAAGATGGTCCTTCTGTTAGGAAAACATTTAACTTCTCTAACTCTAGTTGAGTTAATGCGTAACCTAACAACTCAAGTTACCTTATTACCCCTGGGTATATATTGCCCTTGTAAGTTTTGGGTTTAGCGTGAAGCTAGTCATGGGAATGACCTTGATTTTGGGTTTGCTGAAGAAAGAAGGTGGATTTGAGTTGTTATAGTTAGGGGTATAATGGGTATTTTACCTAATTCTGTCACATTTAATGGTCATTAATAACACCAACTAACACGAGGGACGGATTGGCAAAAAAACTAAACATTTAAGGGACTAATAAGCAAAATAATGAGATCTGAGGGATTAGTTGGCAATTAAAGATGATGTAAGGGACCAATATGCAATTAACCAAAAAAAGATAACCTTTGAACTTATCATTCCATTCGACTAGCAAACTAAACACCTACCTTCCCGATTTATACTCGTCCTCATTGTGGGGGAATTTTAGTCTTCCCACCTACTATAATATGTGCAACTTGAAAGTAAACTCACAATCAACATGATAGAAAACAACCGCAATCAAGAAGAAAAAACACCGAGATTTACGTGGTTCGGTCGACCAACTTTAACCTACGTCCACGGGGCAACAATAGGAGAAATCCACTATGTATCAGGGAGATCTATAAGAGAAACCACTCAACTCTCATCTCTCAACCTCACATACATAATCAACTCTCATGTCTCTCCGAAGCCCTCTCCTTACAATCTTTTGAATGGATAAAGACTGTGAAACTCTCTCCCAATGATGTAATCTTCTGCGCGAACAAAAACTATTGAACCCTCGCCTCTCGCACAATATTCTTTAATCAGATTACGCCCTCTGCTAACCCTAGATTATAAGAATATTAGCTCTCTCTCCTCTGCTTGGTTTTTCCTCTAACAATAGAAGAATATATATATAGGGAAACCAAAACTCTATCTCTAGTCTAACTTCCTAATTAGAATAGGATTCAAACTCCTAATCATGATGAGACCTAATCTCTTAATTATAATAAATCTCTAACCCTATCTAATTCTCATGAATTTATACAAAGAATCAAAGACACAATTCCAACAATCTTCACCTTGGATTTGATACCCAAACTCCATTGAAGTTATATCATCGTTGTCTTGAAACTTTGCCTCTCCCGCTAGAGTCTTCTATTTTTTTGCACTTCAAATCGAATCACCTACACTCCAACTGGATGCCCCTATGACTCTCACTTTCATCTGTCTCGTTGTGGCGCCTCCACCTCTCTTGTGTTCACCAAGAGATTTTCGCCACCTCTGGCATTAAAAGCAAATCAACCATGCTTCTCCTCCCAAACTGAACTAGACAGTAGCATTCCCCCACTTACTGTCCTCGTACTCCACTTGCATCACTCGTCTCGAAATATATCGGTGCATCTCTCCTACTCCACACTACGAGCCGGATGCCTCTATCTCTTTCATCACTTGGCTTGGACCGAATATGAGCGCTCATCGCCTTCAAGTCCAATGTCACCGTCTCCATCTCTGTGTATGTCACTCAATCGTGCCTGCTTGCAAGCTCCACAAAGTCTGGCACTATCCTCCTCGAGTCTACACACCAACCAACTACTACTCCTGCGATGACTCTGAATAATTATATATTGATAACTCTACTGCTAGAATCAAATCTGATTCTCTACGCCAGTCTCATCTGTTGATACTTGTTTGCCCTATCTGCCATCAAATCTGACTCGTCGTCACCATCAGATCTTTTAAGCACTTTTTGAGCAATTTGAGCATAATCTGAAAAATCAAACCTTTTTCATCGCGTTCAGAGCACTCCAAAACCTAGGGATCAACTCCTTGATCACCAATATCCACCATCGAATCGGGCATCTACTCACCAATCATTCTAGACTGATATATTAATCGGTTCGCCCATCAACTCCTAGAAAGCAATTATTCTCCATATTTTGACAAAACAAACACAAGAAATAACTTTCCATGATATTGAATGAAACACCAAAAAGTGAAGGAATGTTGGACTTGGAAAACGGAGGAAAGCAACCAAACAACCCTTGATATTAACATTTTTTTGGTTTCTTGATCTTAATTTTTTAAGTTCTAGGAAATCTTAGTTGTGAATAAGTTCACAAGGAAAATCAACTTGTGCACAAAGAGACTAAGTCACTTGTGGAATCCTTAAAGATCACAAGAAAGATTTTATCTTTGTAATCTCTAATATAAAGAAAACTCAACCCTCGTCCTATGGATGTAACTGATTGTCGAGCAGCATAAATCTCTTGTCTTCGTCTCTTGATTTGTTTTATGTGATTTGCATCTTTCTTTTTGGTTCGAACTAGTTACTTATCAGAGTTTCTTCATTGTAAGGTGACTGATTAGTCTATGAAAAATGAGGAGATCTAATCAGATGCTTCGGTGACGCTTTAGCAAAGTACGCTTTCGCATAGATTATCGGCTGGTGCGCAAGAATCAATGTCAAATTGCGGTGGCATGCGCCAACATAAAATCTCCCTCCTCTTCGCTTATTAGAGGAGGTTCTTTATCCAGTAGTTATAAATTTATTTGTAATTCAATTATTTTAAATACGGTGAAAAATTTTCTCTGGAAATAGTCAATGAGAAGATTTTAAACGGTTTACACTTTGCTAGAATTACGTAGTAAAAAAATAAACATAGAGACAATTTATTCATTAACGATCAACATAAAACAAAATGATATTTCTAGATTAATATATTGACAAAAGAAATTGAATAAATCCATTCCGAAAGAAAACACAGTATTACAAAACATAAAAGGAACCATATTCTCTTTAATTATGTGGTAATTGGAGAGGGTCAAATTCTCTCAATTCTTGGAGTTCTTATTACTTTTTATGGATGAGAACATGTCATGTAATCTTGAAAACCATTGTTACCTTGAAAACCACTAGTATCATAATAACTAGGGTAAAATGATCGTTCCCCTTAAAGTATTGGTAAACTATCAGTATGCTCTCTAATGTATCGAATTACCTATTTTGTTCCCCCAAACTACATTTATGGTTTCAACGAGATCATTTTGTGAGTCTACAGTAAAATATTTAGCAGGAGGTTAATGATGCAATAGTATATTTTTGTATTTCTTCATGTATTTCATCAGTTTAGTTCATGGATTTTATTAGTTTATATGGGATGAATACATAAAAACGCCCTTACATAATGCAGAATGTGGGATCATTTTTATAAGGTTTTTTAAAAACTAAAACAATTATGTCAATAATTACCTTCGATAAAATCAAGATTCAATCCTTCGCTACAGTCCAAATGAGCATTCAACCTTGACCAGTGCAATTGCAAATGCGCTAACAGTCATATTTGATCTTAAACGTTGGGCCGTAATTCTGCAAGGCCGTGGTTGGCGGTCCTCAAAAAATTAGGCCACCGGCCTAAATGCACGTTCAACAAATACTCGTACAATATATTTTTTAATATCATTTATTGTTGCTTTTCAATAGAAACAGTTTCGACACTAAAAAAACATACTGGAGATCCACGTATCCCAAAAAAAAAGAAAAAAAAGGATATCTCAAAAGCAAAAATTTGTTGGTTGCGTCAATATAATCTAAAATGAAGAACAAAACAAGTAGGCGATATCCTGAAAGGCGTCTTCCAACTGAGCATTGCGATCCGATGAATTATCAGGACATGCCAACAACTTTTCAATTATTTCCAACACCATCTGCCTGTAATCTTTACTATAATCATCAAGTTCTTTAGATATTGATCTCTTGAGATACGCAACTCCCAACTTATTGGCCAAAGCAACGGTTGCATCGGCCAACAACACGTACTTGTCCCTTCTCATCATCATTCTCGTCTACATAATTAGCACGAAACAACTAGGCTCGCCCATAATTAGAAAACACTATAACGGAACGTCCTTGATCTCAACTAGGCTTTTGATGGCTTCGAATCCAATCTCCTTCATCTCCTCGTCGTCTACCTCTACCGAAAGTTTCGTCACGAGCAATACCCCGTTCGCTACGTTCCAATTGATGTCGCTGGGATATGGATACGTTAGAAGTTGAATAATGCAAGTGAATAGCTTCACCAGCGCTCCCAACACTTTCCCTCTTCGATGAATAAAACCAACTCCATCTTTGCTGAAGAAATCGAAGAGACGATACAATATCGATTTATAAAGTGCTCATATCCATAGGGTGCCACCGCTTTAGCAAGAGCAGCGAGAGATAAAGCTGTGATCATGATTCGCACAATTTCTAAATCCTTGTGAAGGAGACCGAACTCCATAAGTTCAATTAGAGACGAAAGATGTGGCAGCAACGTGCATCCGATCCTCACAGCAAACTGCTCCACCATTCTTATAGCAGCACAACGGACTCGCAATGGCTCAATTCCTCGACAACAACTTTCGATGAATGGAAAAACAACATGAATTCCGAGTGCAGATGCTACGATCCCCATAACTTTGACCGCCACATCCCTTACGTAATCACTACTGTCATTCATTTGAAGACGAATCAGCACAGCAATTTCATCCAAACCCGTGATTTTGCCGAGAGTGTAGATGATCTCGCTCTTCTTGATGCAACAATGAGAGGAGGCACCTTCAACAAAAGGTTGGGCAACTAATATAATTCGAGAAACCAACTTGATGCAACAATGAGAGGAGGCACCTTCAACAAAAGGTTGGGCAACTAATATAATTCGAGAAACCAAAGGTCGAACTTTGTCCTCATCGCAACTGGGCAATACCTTGCTCATCACTTTCAGTAGGAAGCCGGCCTCTTCATCTTTGAGTGATTTGCGCTCTGTTAGCATCCATGAGAGAGTGTAGTCAAGTACGTTGATGGGCTCAATGCCCATATCATGAATACTTCGGGTGAGGTTAATAAAAAATACTGACTTTTGATGAGAGGAATCGTTCATCACTCTTGAGAGTAGATTCTTGACAAGTTCTCGAGAATTAGTCTTCAATTTCTTCTCAGACGACAACTCATCACTTCCTACACTTTTATTGACAACAATTGGTCGTTTATGAGACACGTTCCCTTTGTTCTTCATCTCCTCGCGCTCCATGGTATTATTTTCTGACCTCCGGGAAACGCAAATTGATTTGTCGAAAAACAAACAAACAAAAAGTAAGTACTCGCAGAAACTCTATTGAAAACAAGGTGGTAGCTGAATATCATAACCTGTTGTCATTTAGTTTAGAAGCAATTTAATCTTATGACCAGATGCACTAAACTAATCTAGAAAATATATTTAATTGTTTTGCATAACTTGTTCTGAAATTTTATGTAAATAATGTCTACAATCATGTTAAAGGCATGAGATGTCTAATACATCTGAATCCTCTTGAATTATATGGTAACGGGAGAGGGTCCAATCCCCTCAATCCTTATTGCCCACATCACTTTCAGTGGGCGAGATCACGCCACGTAAGGTAAGGTTTTCATTGTTATCTTGGTAACCACTTGTTGAAAAGATAATGTAATTAGAGAATATTAGAGGGGGTTTTGTGTAAATGTGGGTGTAAGGCTATATAAGCCAATCTATTCTATCAGTGAGAAAGTGAATTAAAAAAACCCTAATTTTCAATATGGTATCAGAGCCCTAACCTAGCCGCCTCCCTCTTCAACCCGACGAAATCCAACCCGAACAAATCCGAGGGCTTTGGTCTTCATCCTCGGGCTTCGTCTTCACCAGAGGGCCTCCGAAGCCTCTAGATCTCCAGGCGGCGAGGTCATTGACTCCAAGATCATCAACGATCAGGAGGCCTGCTCGGTGGAGTTCTCTTGTAGGGAAGCGTCGACGGAGGAGCAGGGAGTCGGTGACGTGACCGGCGGCAGGTATGGTGTTACCACGACGACTGTAGGGCAGGAGGCTGCGACCACGATGACTGTAGGGTAGGAGGAGACAGCCGGATGCAGAGGAGGCCGAAGTCAATGGAGGTGCAGGGCGTCGGTGATGTGATCGCGGCTACAGGGGAGGGTCCGATGGCGGGAGCTGGAGGAATCTCGTTTTGGAGTTTGGTTTTTTGATCTGCAGGGAGTGTTGCCGATCAGATCCAAGAGAAGAAGGAAATTTATTTTGGGGATTGTTGCCAATCAGATCCAAGAAAAATAATAAAAAATTAGGACATGTATTAGATGATAAAGTAGTTTCGTTCTGCTGTTTTTTTGTTGTTTTTTATTCTAGATCTGTAATAGCTTGTTTGGGTTCCCTCGACAGGTCAGTCCTAGAACTGATGAGAGGAATAGCTGATATTTTACTTTGTTGAGATATTTTACTTTTTGGTTCTTGTTTTCTTGGTGAAACAAGAATTCTTGTTAATCTAACTCTCTTGTTGTGCTGTCGAAGTGCTGTCGAAATTTTCGCTACACACAACAAGGATACAAGTTGGATCGACGACGGAGACTGGCAGAAATCCGATGGAGGAGATCATCAAGAAGTTGAATCCTAAGGAGATCTCAACACTGATGCAATTGATAAGGTTGTCGGCGGGAGAGGGCAGCTTCCACCTATCGATGTAAAACTTGATGGACCCGCGACATATCTGAGTTGGTCGCGTCGGGTGAAATATACCATTGCCGGGAGGAGCCTAGAGGGATATCTGACAGGGTAGAAGACTAAGCCGGCTGAGGGCTCCGTAGGTAGAGATGAGTGGAAGTCCACTCATATGTTGATGTACATCTGGCTTCTGAATTCTGTAGTCCATCCAATTGCTGCCACAGTGGATGGCCTTGGGAGGGTGCAGGATGTGTGAGAGAAGTTGAGGAGGACCTACGATGGGGTGGGGAATAACCTGAGGGTATTCCAGATCGAGAAGGAGATCAGCGCTACAGTCCAGGGAGAGAGGACTATACAGGAGTACACCATAGAGCTAGAGCGCTTGTGGCTCGATCACGATCACTTCTCACCCCTAGCGAGCTGCAAGGACCCAGAATGCAAGCAGCGTGAGGCCTCTTTGCAGAAAAGGACCATGTCGTTTCTCCATGGTTTGGCTCCAGCGTATGAGCAGGGGACAGCGTTGCTACTAACCCAGACGAAGATCCCACCATTGGAGGAGACGGTCTCGGCCATGATACAGGAGGAGAGCCGTATCAGGCTACAGGCTGGGACAAGTGGACTTACACAAGATAAGTCTGCACTGGTGGTATCCAAACCGGATAACACTGGATTCAGAGGGGAGACTAGGTAGTGCTTCAACTGTGGAGAGGTAGGGCATCTGAGACAGATATGCCCTAAGCCACCCAGGGAGAGGAACTGGGGTGAACATGGTCAGGCTGGAGGCCGTGGTCGTGTCTGTGGAGGCAGGTGAGGTGGAAGAGGAGGCCACCAGGCAAACTTGATAGTGACAGAAAGGGAAGAAGAAGCTGAGATGATCTTCACTGATAAGGATCGGACACTCTTGGCAGCACCGAGGAGGAAGCAGAGAGCAGTAGGTGATGTGTCTGAGGGGTCATCCACTACTCTCTCTGGAGGGGACTATGCCAATTACGCCCTTCGTGCACACCCAACGAGGCAATTTTGGAAAGAATTTGACTCGCTGAGGATTTTATGAGAACACCTGTTATTCTTATAAAGAGGGGAAAAATGTTCCCATAGGAGGGTTTAAACTATTAGAGGTATAATATTAACGTAACAGGAAAAATATTATGATCGGGACAATTTTGAGGACTTATCACTCCATTGAGGAGAGTCGAAAAGTTGATTTTGTCAGAGGTGTGATACTAACATGACAGGGAGAAATATTACGATCGGTGCAATTTTGAGAAATAATCGCTCTATTGAGGAGAGTTGATAAGTTAATTTTGTCAGAGGTATGATATTAACGTGACATGAAGAAATATTGATGTGATTTGAACACAATCTAGGGGACTTAACGTCTTGCTGGGGAAAATCGCCAAATGGTTTATCATCGAAGCGATGACTTGTGATACTTGTGATTTGAACAAGATCGAGAGAATTTTACTACTCCACCGAAGGGAGTTGATAAGTTGGTTATTTACTACTGTGTCGAGGAGAATCAGTAAATTAACCATGTTCTGAGTGATTTTGGGGACTTATCATTCTATTGATGAGAATCGATAAGTTGATTTTGACAGAGGAATTATCGTCCCTTTGGAGGCTATGCAAGCTAAATTCAAACTCTGTGGGGATGATGGTTGTCAGAAGTGTAAGACTAACTTTGACGAAAGTTTGCAACTGAAACAATTTAGGTTCTGCTGGAGTTGTTTTCAGCGAAAGTTGACTCCATTGTCGATTCCATTAAAACTTTGATGTGTTTACAGGAAAATACAATGAAAATAAACGAAAATACAACTCTCGAGAAAATAACACAGAAATTGTTTATCAACTCCTGCTTTGTGGGACTTTGCCTGTGCCGGGAGTGCTTTGGATCGTTGACCACCGATTCACAGATCGTGAATGTGTTTGGGGATCTTTCCTTCGTTTATCGAAGTAAAGATTTGAAAGCGAATATCTTATCGATGTAAGATGTTCACTCTTCCAAAGATCAAGTCTGAGCTTAGAACTCTAGGAATCACCAAATGATGCTTGTCAAAGGGTGAAAATTCTCTCTTTCTTCCTCAAAATCAACAAAAGCTCCAGTCTCTTCTGCTCCAAAATGCTCTCTGTCCTTTATTTCGTGTCTAGGGAGGTATTTATAGGGGTAGGAATGCACAACAGTTGAAACGGGGGCAAAATAACCGACCAGATAACTGTTCTTTAGCCGCTGCAGTTTACACTGCCGCGGCCATTGGCGCGGAAGTATGGACTGCCGCGGCCAAAGAGGCGGTTATCAGCACGTTCCATCGTTCCTAAAACCGTTCTCCCACGACCTTTAACCACCTTTTTTCGTGGTTTAACTGCTTGTCCACGTCAGCACACGTTCTATTTCTGATATGTCGCCACGTGGGTCTCAAAACTCATCGTATAACTGCCTTGTAACTGCCACATCACTCCTCTATAATAGCCGCGGCACTCTAAGCTGTCGCGCCTAAGCCGCGGCACTATAGGCTGCCGCGCCTAAGGCGCGACACTCTGAACTGCCGCGCCTAAGGCGCGACTCTCTGAACTGTCGCGCCTAAGGCATGTCACCCTGGCTTGCTTGTTGGTGTATCGTTGTGTCTACACTGTTCTTTTCTCATCCTTGAGTAGTGTTTGGATATCTATGAGCATTTTTTGACGCCTATAGATACCCCCTCCAAAGTATCTCAAACTCATTATCTTAGAGAGGAGTCTGGGACACTTTGGATATGATAACCTTTCCTTGTAATTTCGTCAATGCTTTGTTGAGGAAGTTGCGTAGAATGGTCTGTGAACGATGTCTATTCTTGACTTCTTCATCTTTTAGTCTATTCAGTGCTTTGTAGAATAGCTAAGATTCCTCCGGTACTGCGATTATCGCGTGGCCGTCGTTGAAGTCTTGAATCAGAATTGCTGTTGAAGATTGAAGAAATAGTTTATACTCATATACTCTAAGGAATTATTGTGTATGCACAGTGCCTCGGCGCGTCAGCGTGGACTATGGCGTGTTAACTGCCGCGACAGCTTCTACTGTAGCACTTAAGCACGGCAACATAGACTGTCGCGCTCGAGCGCGACAGTGTCGAGTGCCGCGCAGCGCTTCGGCCCGTCAGGTTATAAGTCTGATGTTGGGCTTCTTCGGGTCATTTTTTCCCACTTCTCTGAGTTCGAAGCCCCCTCAAACACCCTATAAAAGGCTTTCTTTGGCTTTTCCCCTTTCACCTCTTCATATTTGGTTGATTCCCCTTTGCACGAGATCTAGGGTTTCGGGTGATTTCCTCAGAACTTGGTCTTTTTCAGATTCTTTCACTTTCCAGCCTCGATTCTCCTTGATCTTCGGTAAAACCGCACCCATAGTTCATGGATTAGGGTTTTATTCTGATTTCTTGTTTGAGATCTAACATAAAAAACCTAACTTTTGATTCTTTAGGTTGATTTCACCATGTCTCCCAAGAAGACTCATGCTTCCAAGGGCAAATCTGTAGCCCAGGCGTCGGAGGAGGCGGAGGCTGCTGTCCCTTCATTCGGAGGTGATTTTTTAACCGCTCCTCTGTTCAAAATTACTGTTTTCTGCTTGTATAACCTCGTTTGCCCCCTTCGAGGGGCATCCGGGAATCCTCTGTTCAAAATTACTGTTTTCTGCTTGTATAACCTCGTTTGCCCCCTTCGAGGGGCATCCGGGAAGAGTTGACATCCTCCATCGAGAGGATTGACACTGCGAATTACATATCTTGTTCAATCAAGATAAGTACCACGACCAAAATACAATTTTGGCTCAAACCCTTGTTTTTCGAAACCAAAGGGTGCCATTCAGTTACCGCGGCAGCACGTACTTCAATTTTGGCTCAAACCCTTGTTTTTCGAAACCAAAGGGTGCCATTCAGTTACCGCGGCAGCACGTACTGCCGCAGATGAGCGCGGCAACGTGTGCTGCCGCGGTAACGCGAGGACTTAGCTGTTGTCGCGGTTACTTAGGGCGAGGGTTTTGGGTCTGTCAGACTGTTGTCGCGGTTACTTAGGGCGAGGGTTTTGCAGTCCCCTTTCCCTCTGTGGCCTTCTCTGATAGAGAAGACCCAGGCCAGAGCGGTATTCTTCACGTCTCCTTCAACGGCGACTTCCTGGTTAGAGAAGCCCGTCAGTTTAATGAGAGTTGTGATGACAGCGTTCCTGAATTGATTCGTGAAGGAAGTCGTCGCACTTTGCGTGCTTTGCTGACCGACTCACCCTTAACTCCAACCCGAGATTCTACCGAACCGTTGAAGAAGCTTGATTATCTGTTCGGAGATTCGATAGAAGATCCAGACAATCTCTGCCGTGGCCCTGAAATTTGGTTGAATGAGCACGAATGTGCTTTTCTATTCCTTCCTCCATTCCCTCGACAGTATTCACTTCTGCAATTAAGGAATTTGGCTGTTTCGAGGAAAATAACGTGGCACCTGACAGAAGACCATGAGCGCGTTCACTGCGGATTCATTGGTAAAGATGTTAGCGCTCCTGGCTCCGTCGGTAGG